TAGGTCTATCCGAACAAACAATTTGAAGAAAAAGTTTAGGAACGTTTGGTATAATATTGTTTTTAATAGTTTCAAATATTGCCTATAATTCACATAAAATTAAGGGCAAACGTAAAATTTTCCAAACATTAAATTATATTAATTAGAAACTAATTACGGAGAAGAAACGTCATTTGCGGGAAAAATCTGATTTTTCAATATTGTATTTTTCGAAACATGCCGAAAAATATTCAACTACTTATAATTTTAGAAAATTCAAAGTTAACAGTGGAATTCACATTTATGTATTTATAAACGTATTTTTTCTCTGTAAATGAAACGATTTAAAATTATATATTATCATAGAAAATTATTAATATATTCTCTAGGAAGGTAACAAAAACTTCATTTAACATGCATTCATTCATTGTACAAAAACGCCAAAAAGAATGTGATTTTGTAAGGCCACTAGTTTTCATATAATCTCGATTATTCTCTCCAATACAGTTAAATTAAAATACGACTTATCACAGAACCAAGAACCTACTTTTTATACGCAAATGTTCTTTGAAACATTGGGAAACGTTTTTGAATATGTCGTTTAAGCGTTTACAAAATTGAAAATTTCATTTTCTCCAGAAAACATTTTGAATTTTAAAGAAACAGCATTTGAAATTAATTGGCGCACATGCACTCACACATGCAACTATGTTTGAAATATGCCCATAATGTAAATATTAACGAAGTGGAAGATGTAGCAAAAATTACATTTGTTGAGAACTTTTTTTTTGAAAAAAAAAATAATACTTCAAAATGAAGTTTGTCATTTTATTCAGTGAATTTAGAACTAACCATACAGAACGTTTAAAGAACAAAAATATAATGAACATTTGATAAAATTTAGTTTTTAATATTTTTAATATTGCTCATATTTTATTCAAGATTGCACTAAAACAACCAATATTTTCAGAAAAATATACTCGATATATTATTAAGAACTGATTGTGAAGAACTAATGTCATCTGAAAAAAAATCGCTTCAACTAAATCATTCACAATATTTAATGAACTATTTTTAAACTGCAGGGTCACAAGTCGATCCAGATCGATAATGCAATAGTTTTTGTCAAACATTGTTCGTATAGTTTTGGCACTAGTGTGTTCACAGACATACAAGCGGACCGACGGACGGAAGTTTCAAGAGAAGAACACTCTGTACGTCTCAGAGGACCCCAAAACGTATACTTCCGTAGAAATCTCGAAATCGATTGCTGCAGTACTCCGAGCGAATGAATACGAATGCTGAAAGACGTCTCGAAGGGGAAATCTCGAAACGTTTACTTTTAATTTTTTAAAATTATTTGCTCTTCTGCAAATCTACGATCTGTTCATTTTTTAACAATAAAATGTTTAAGAAAATAACAGTCTAACAAAAAATTAACAGAAATAAATCATTACTAACACTCTTTTTACTGGCTTCATGAGTAAAACGTTTCTTCGTGTCAGCCTATAGCTGTTGACTTATCTAGTACGTTAATTGGAAGGTGATTCGCGTGCTCGCACGATCTCTTCTCATATACTTGGTTTCTCTTGGTGATGAGGTCATCATTACGTATGTTACGAATAAAGTTGGCTTGAGATATATGTTTATCTTTTCTTTTTTCTTCGTTTACTGATGGGTGAATATAACGAAGTACTTCACGGAATGCTCTGTTTTGTTTTGGTTGAAATGCTTAGCATTCCTCTTCTTTTTCGTCCAGAACTTTGTGTTTCTGTGTGCTTCCATACTGTATATGGTATTATTTTTACTTCGTCAATATACATATCACATGTAAATTCTTTTACGTGCCCGTGTTAGTTTAGAACTTCAATTAATATCGGTATATTCGTAATATTTGGCACGAATATTGCTTATATATTGATATTTGATTCATTTGTCGTGAACTGTCCGTAGCGACAAATTCAGGTAGCTATATTTTGTTCATTAAATCTCAAAATATCCAAGCCGTAATTCCAAATTCAATAAAACACTACAATTCCGTTGGTAATAAAATTAACTTGACATGGTTATCTGCAACCGATAAAAAGGGGATGTGAACTTGCCCTGGCCGAAGAGAGAAAAGACAATGATTGATTACATTAAAGAAAGGATATCAAGAGGAATATCACCAAGCCTCCAATAGCTTAAGAGCTTTTAAATGCGTTACGAAGGGGCAAAAATTAAAAAAAAATTTTTCATCCCAACAACGGTTGTTATTGGTTTAAATGGTAGTGTTAATTTTGACTTTTCAAAGACACAGGACATATTTAAGAAAATTTGTAAGAACTCAAATTTCCATGTTTTTTATTCGATAAGCAATTACCTCAAACATTCGGATTGCATTCTGAAGGTAGTTTCAAGTAGCATTGTGGTATTATGTTCGGATGGACGAAGAGTGCCACTAAATGCAGTTTGCATTTGCGAAACGGCATGAAGGGTAGATATGTGTGGACACTGCGAAAAGGACGACTCACAAAGGCGTGGGAGTTGTCATGACAGGCGAAGTTCTTATAAACAATTACGTTTCTTGTAAACGGAAGGCGATAACGCCGAACGGATTGCGGAATTTTGCACCTCGTTTAAAGGCAGTTTAAAAAAGATAAAAATGGCAAAATTTTCAAATTAATAAACAATTTCCAGTTTTTAAATTATGAAGAGGGAAGGGTTCTCTGATGTCTCAGAACCGGAAACTGCAAGCTTACAATTTTGCAACAATTAATTTTGCAACATTTTACATTTTTATAAACAATTCCAAAACGTGCGCTGTACCTCCCGGGGGTCCTCAAATTGTCTCTGAAGTGAATATTTCAAAATGACAATTTTGACAAAAGATGCAAAATGATTACTAAATTCCTAGTTGAATTGCTGATAAAATGTTAAATTTCGTAAACACTGATGTTTGAACAATATTACTTCACCAAAACTTCTCACTTCCAAATATTTTTACAACTCTGGAACCGCACATTTCATTTCTTTGTCTCCATTTCTTAATATTCGTTCACATGCGGGGCATAACAGTGTACAGTGTAAATGCTATATAAAAAACATGGATTATTGCATAGCATACTCCTAAAACTTTATTGAATAATTTTTCACGAATGTGTAGTGAAAGATTAGAAAAAGTAATAGTTCGATTCTTTTTAAAAAGAAGCAAAATATTATTGCAAAAATCACCTTATAATATGAAGTTCATTTATTCACGTGAGACATTCTTGTTTGCACACTTGAATAAATTCCCTTATTCCTAGGCTGTTAATACTTTTCTTCCCGTTCAGACGTCTTTCATAGTGGTTGTTATCAGCTGTACTTCGTTTGCGGATTAGTGTGTTTCACCATGTTCCACAATTTAGAGATTTGTATAGGTAATAATTAAATGTTATACCCAATATAAGTAATGAGTCACACTAACAGCAGATGGTAGAGACGAACAGGATGAAAAAATAAAAGTTTAAGAGGAAAAATAGCCACAACACAGTTGAATCCGTGCTGTGGAACTGAATTATTTCAATGAAGACAAAGTAATGCATATATAGCTCCTTCATAGAGAGTACAACACTCTATGGAGCAGAAGTCTGGACACTAACAAAAAATATGAAAGACAAACTTCAAGCAACGGAAATGATATTCTACAGAATAAGTTGTGAACTTTCTCTGTCAGACAAATTAAGATATGAAACGAAAGTTCAAGCAACCTTGAACGAGACGATAGATATGAAACAATTAAAATGGTATTGACATATGAGATGTTTGAAATCGGATAGACTTCGACACAAAGTTTGTGAGTTTCAATTGAAGAAGATACAGGGGACGACCGAGGAGAACATGGAACATAGCAATAACTGAAGCCAGGGAAAAAAGAGAAATGGAGAAAAACGATCTATGAGATGGCATGGAAAGACATGGAAATTGGGATGTGGAAAACGGCCAAGGATGTAAAAAAATCCTCTGAATAGATCGAGAGCACGAAAACAATGATACGATATTCAGGAATAATTGTTTGGTCAGATGGAACGAAAATAACTCTCTATAGTTCTTGTGGATGCCGAACGTTATGTAGAAAGAGAAATACAGCCAACGAAACTTGCAGTACTCTGCCTACTGTGAAGCGTGGAGAAGGTTCTGTGATGTTTTGGGGGATCATGTCGTCTAATGGGGTTGGCATAGTGCAGATCATTGATGGCATTATTAGCAAATGGGGATTCTTAGATGTCCTGAAGAAAAAAATGTTAAGAAGAGTGCAGAAAAAAGCAATTAGTGTCAAGATACATTTTTCAATAAGATAATGACTCTCCGCACACTGCTAATATCTGCAAACAGTTTCTTATATGAAACGTGTCCAAGCAATTGCGAACTCTCTATCAATCTCCTGATCTGAACCCGATCGAACATGTACGGGTTGAATTGAAGAAAAGGGTGCATTCAAGAAAGACTCAGTCACTGAAACAATTAAAACGCAATGTGGCAGAAGAATGAGGAAAAACATGATATGAGCTGCGTTCAATGCAGAGACGATGTAAAGCAGTTCTCAGAGCTAAAGGCTATGGGGCAGGGTTTTCATTATTCTTTTCTTCTGAATTCTTGAATATATTATTTAAGTTTTTGAAAGTGTACAAAAAAGAGTATTGCACAGTAATAGCCAGATTTTTATTAAATTATGTATTTGAATTTTTATTTGAAATCAAATTAAGTGTTTGTTGGCTGTTTCTGTTTCCTTAGAGTTACATAAAAAAGACAAAAAATAAAGATAAGACAAAACGTATAGAATAGTTTAAATATTTAATTTTTAGTTAAAAAAATGAAGTGTCAAACAAGATTGTTACATACTGTGCGTAAGTTATTTTGTATTACGTAAAGGAGGGGATGTTATACAATTGATTTTTCGCAAGTAAATCTGGATTATGTTTATTATTTTTAATATTGCATGTGCTGAACATTTTGTGTCGTAATGGATGATATTATGTTTATTGATATTATTCTTGTAGGCGATCGAATGGATTGCAGTACGACGCAATGAGACTACCACTGCCCTCTGTGTCTTCTTCACCAATACTCTCAAACCTTTGAATGAACTCTTAAGGAACGTTCTTACTAGAGATTATTAGGGGAAGTCTAGGAGAAATATCAGTTTCTCAGTCGTTGGTAGTTGGTTGAGAAAGTTGTTTTGTAATAGTTAACTATGAAAGAACCAGATGTTTATCCTCCGTAAAGTGCTGCCAGAGTGCGCAAAAAGCCTGGAATTAGAATTTGGCCGTTACCCATTTTATCGGTCGGCAACTGTACACTTGATGATCGAGAAAATTATAAAGATATTGCAGTTAAAACACATCCCATATTAAAAGATTATGATGCAAAACCTAATCCAGTTTGATCAAATGGAGGAGAAAATAGAATAAAATATTCAAAGATATGTGACTGAATAAAAAACATAAAATCCAATTTCTTTCATCACCAAAAACAGGAATGTGTGTTATTAAAAAATATACTAAAAAACCTGTAGAAAATGTTTGGATAAATAATGGAAAAGATCTCATAAGTAGATTACTAGTGATACATGGAGAAGATTAAGCTAGTTATGATATACTGTAAAAGGAGGAAATAAAAATTATAAAAATGCTAACAGGAAAATTTCATTATTTTATTACTCATAATCCAAAAGAAATTTCATATTAACTTAGACTTTTAAATGGTATTCCCCGTCTAAAATTATAGATCTGAAATTATTAATTGGGCTATTAAAATGTGCTTGAGAAACTAATTGCTCTAAAATTAGAGTTATTTTATCTTATATGAACGTAATTTCGTTAAAAGCAATTGTGTTCACACTAGCAAAGTGTATGTACTTATCTATTTATATCAATGAATTTACTTTCATGTTCGTAAAATTGTTTAATTCTCTGCAGTTTTATTTGAAAATATTTTCACATCTGTACTAGTGACATCCGTCGTTTTCTACTACGTAATTTTGTTAGGCCACTTTTCCCACAGGAGTCGCCTGTGAGGATTTTGTCAAGACAAGGGCTGCTCAAGCCGCGCGAAAGCTGCTGACAGATGCAATTTATGTTTCCACCAAAACTGTACCAATATATTTTGTAGAGATGATTTGTAGCAAACTAGGACAACTTATAATTGCTTTACCATTTTTAATGAGAATAATAATCTCATAAAATAGGTTAAGAAAAATATAGATTGTTCAGAACACGTATGAAGTAGCTGTTGTATCGGAAAGATACACTGGTCGCAGACCATGATGCTTCACTTCAAAAATTGCTGGCACTACTGCTGTGTGGTTACCTGCGTTTCAAGAAGACAGGTGGAGAGAGTAAACCATTCCTACAGCCGTGCTTATAGTTAAAGAAAAAGTAAGGTTAGTAAAATATAGTTAAATACAAAACAATATAACGATAGCATTCGAGTGTTAAGCAAGGCGAAAGAGCTTTTTACTCGTACGTCAGAAATTATCATTAAAATCATGAAAATACACACTTTGTTCTGTATATCAAAGTAACTTTCCTCGGCACACATCATTGTCATCTAGAATGAAATGTTTGTTTTGAACAAAGCGCCATTGACACATGTGACTGAAAGCCCGATCTTTTGATGTAAATTTCGTGTATTACCCTTTCTGTGGTTTTGAGCTTTGAACTGCCAATTGCATTTGGCGTTTGTTTTATCTCTTATCTCTTTCCTTCTTTCTCTGCTTGCGGCGTTTCACAATAATAATTACATTATTCATACACCCATGGTTGAATGAAAATGTCGGGGGTGGATGAGAAGAAACGCATCACTTTTGTAATAACGCATTGGACTAAAATGTGTTCGTTTGGCATCTGCAGCATTTGAAAACTTATTCTCCTTTTGACCTGAAAATATTTTTGTTTTGAAATTTGAAAGGAAATTTTTTGTGCTTGAAATTTTAATGTATACGGGTTTTTAATGAACATTCATCGAATGTTTAGGTGTTTGAGTTTTGACTTATTTCAGTTTCAGAAAGTATTTGTTTGTATAGTTGTCTCTGCCCATCTCATATGCTCCGACGAATTCATTCTAACATAGCGAATGGTCTTTGTTAAGCAGCTACAAATAATTTGTTTGAGAGTTGTTGTTTGAGAAGGCAAACATCTGACCTAATTTAAAGTTTTACTGGTTCCATCTTTTTCCTCCTTAAGAGTTTAATGAAATAGGGGCAAATATTTGAAGCGACTAACAACATGATTAATTATAATCGAAGTAAAAGTGTGGTGGTTCAAGGAGTACACACTTTCTCATATTTGTATCGGTTCATACTAGATATTACCTAGTATGAACGGTTCATATTAGTATGAAGGTTCATATTAGTATGAACGTTTCATACTAGGTAATATTATAACATTTTTGTAGGTACAAAAGTAGACACGCGGGGATACGAACTTCGGACCGTAGACGTCGCGAGTAGTTGATCTATTTACGAAGCTAATGTACCCGTGGTTGATCTGAATCGATTCATTTTTGTATAAAACAACCAGTTAATCAGTCTTAGAAATTCGAAAGAAGTTTACATTTTTCGGGCACATTTGCCTAAATAGTTGCCAATCCTCCTAGTATATTAGCATATTCACCTCCTGTGCACCTGCACGAAATCTATCCTCAAGAAGATGGTGCACGCTCGGCGTAGTCCTCGTCCAATGTAATGAACGTGAAACGCACAAATAAACGGAAAATGCTCTTCTAAAAACGACAGCTTTCCAGATCTTTCCAAAAAAATTAACATCGTAATTGGTAGTATTTTCCTCAAGTTTTTTTGATTTCTCGAGAAAGCCAAAGAAAATTAAATTTAAATTTTAATTAGTAGGAAATTTATTAAAAATTTTTAACTTAAAAATTCTAAATTTTAAAAACATTTCCGCTGCATATCAATTTCTACACAATTCGTCTACTAAAAATCCAAAAAACCAACATATTTCTTTTTCTTCTTTCTTAGAGTAATCTAGGGACCACGAGACAGTTTCATCACTTCCTCAGTTGCTCTTTCTTCTTTCTCCAGTACTCCTCCTTTCACTATGATTCATTTTCCTCTCTTTGGACCTTTTTACACCAGTTTTCCTCTCCTTACTTTGTGCCCTTTCAATTGTTGCAATTTATTTTTAAAAATATCTCTCCATTGTTTTTTCTTTTCTTATATTGTTCCCATCCATATCTTTCTATAGAACTTCCTGAACCAAGGTTTTGGAAGATTTCTTATTTTTTTACATACATGAAAATTTGTTTTGTTAGCCTGTAAGTAACCTGAATATGTGTCCAAAAAATAGCTATATTCTCTCCCGAATCGTGTCTCATTTTTCTATGTTGCCATATCTTTCATCAATGCTTCTGTATGTTTGCCACGTTTCAGGATTCTGAATTTTTGAGCGGGCCAACATTTTAAGTATGGTAACGTATAATTATGTACTTACGTATGAACCAACACATTTATGTAAATCAATATAAATATATTAATTACAATTTGTACTAGTTAGTATCGAAAGACTACATATGCTTGTAATGAATTGCAGAAGGTCATTTCATTCGCTCACACGTCTTTTATGTTGAGTGCGGGAAGTTCGATCGTCCTGCGCACGCTAGTTGAACGCTGAGATGCAGAACAGTGGCAAAAGCCCAAACGGCTTCACTTCACCTCTTCAGGAATGAGTAGGTAACATCTCACATACGATAGCGTTGCAGAATTACGTAAGCAATATACGCGAGGAATTTTTCAGACTAATGTTCCATTAATAACACTTCCTACATTTACTACATATGAGTAAATTAAATATGTATGTAATAGAAATGAATAAATGCGTATCACACTTCTCTTCGAAACTAGCCATCATAAGATCGTCATTAATGCTTTCCGAATCAAAGTTATACTTAAAAGAGCTACATTTAAGTTTAGAAAACATGTAGCATTATTGAACCTTTCTCATATTTCCCTCCTAACCATGATCCTTTCGATCCAGATAAGTGTTATGTGGTGTATATAGAGTTCCGCATCCAAGACAACAACATGCTGTAACCTATCAGTAAAAAATAAAAGACATTTTCTCAAAATGATCTATTACTCGTGAAAGAGAATGAATATTTTATATGCACTCTCAAATTTTAAATAGATGATAATTGTTATTTTAAGTTTTTTATTTTAATATTAATATTTTATATTAATCCTTTTTTCAGCGGGTGATTTATTTCCTGAACAATATTTTTTGGTTTAGATTTTTGAAAGAAGGTAGAATTCTGAATCAATTTCACACAGTTCGGTCCTCGTTATCATACAATATATTATAAACAGGGAAATCTGTGTTTATCCTCACTCATGATTAGGCTCCTTACGATCCCCCCTTTAGGTCAATCAAAATGTCTATAAGAGTATACATTAATCTAGAATGTAATTATTCCTAATGGCGTTTTGTGACCCCAATTTTCATGATGGAAAATTAAACGGAAAAATTGAAAGAAAAATATGCAGAAGGTACCGAGCGTTTCTAGATGCCCACAAACGACGACGCTGCAGACTAAACGCTGGCAGGCGAAGGTGAGGGGGCGTTTTAGTTGGCCGGGGCCACGTTTCAGTGTACGGGAACTCAAGCGTGAACAGATAATATTTAAGGACTTGGAGGTGAGGTAGAGTTGCAAATAGGCAAACACAAGGCTTACAATATTCTGCTGCCTCACGTTCACAGCATGTTACCTTTCCTCTAAGAGGAAGATATTCCCCTGTTGCGCTATCTCCATTTCATTTTCCTTTCTGGAATATGTTGTATATTGTGTTTGTGCGGCGGCGATGGAGTAATGGCTGGCGTAACGGACTGTTATCCTTAAGTTGGCGGGTTCAAACCCGCCGAGGATTTTTAAGGGCGAAAATATCGTACGCCTCCCTTCGGAAGGGAAGTAAAGCCGGATGTCCCATGTTAGTAGATTTACTTGTACAAGATCCTTAAGCCCAAATGAAGCCTCAGAGCTAAATTCAAATCGTATGTTTCGTCGCCCAAGAAATACCTCATTTCTCTGCTAGTTGGTGAAAGGAGCGTAGCGAAATTTGTATGCTCAGACGGAAGAGCAGGCTTCATGAGGTGAGTATCGCCACGTAAAA